GCACGCATCCCGCGTCGTTCAACGATGTCTTGAAAAACCTGAAAAGCTGAAAAGAAACAGATTAGTAAATGATTAGTACAACACAATGAAACAAATACAAACAAATAAAATAAATATAAACCATAAATATCAACTCAGTGGAACGAACAACCCAACGATGAGACATTAAAATCCTAACCATAAGGCATGAACAACCCAACGATGAGGCATAAGAATCCAATGACGACACATTTGAATATTATACGAAATATTCGAATTGTCAAATAAAAATAAAATCTGCAAAGTAAAAAATAACTAAAACCTGAAAGAAAATTAATTATAACATAGAAATATAAAAATCTAACACAATCCAAGAATGAAACAAGAAGAACCCAATGATGAGATATAAACATTCCAACGATGAGACATAAACAACCCAAAGATGAGACATTCGAATATTATAAGAAATATTCGAATTGTCAGATAAAAATAAATAGAAACGAAAAAATATTATCTGAAAGAAGAAACAATAATTAAAACCAGGAAAAAAAAGAATAATTAATATCTGAAAATAAAAATTTCCAACAACCCAACAATGAGACATAAATAAACCAACGATGAGATATAAACAATCCAACGATGAGACAAACAATCCAACGACGAGGCATTCGAATATTATACGAAATATTCGAATTGTCAGATAAAAGTAAATAAAAACGAAAAAATATTATCTGAAGGAAAAAAAAAGTATTTAAAACCTGAAAAAAGAAAAAATAATTAATGCCTGAAAAAAAAGGAAATTAATAGCTGTAAATAAAAAAGAAACAATTAGTAAATTGTTTAATGGGGTGGGATGAAGGTGGGGGACCACCCCGAACCTCATTTCGTATCCCCACCCCTCGAGCACAATGCAAATTTAGATGTTACGCTTCTAAAGTCGAATCGACAAATAAATTATGCTCTGTCGCATCGACCCTTATATAGCCGCTGATCGGTCGAGTCCCCCACCCCGATAGCAAATTATCGAACTTTACCGATTGCATTAATTATTATTTTCTCGCCTTAATAGTCAATAATTCATTAATTTTTTCACTTTGAATAGAAATATACGTTCCGGATAATTTGTTAATAACAATATTAACTTGTTATTAACAATCAGTGCAATAATTTATATACTTTTTACAAATTATTGGAACCTTTTAACACAAATACGTTCTAAATTCTATTTAAATCAAATTATTTATTTTTTTTCTCATATTTACTATATATTTACGTTGCGGACATTTTGTTATTAACAATCGGTGTAATTATTTGTAAATTTTTTGCAAATTATCGGTACATTTTAATACAAGTATGTAATAATTTCATTTAAAACCAAATATTTTATTATTTTTTTCGCTTTTGTTATAAACTTGCGTTGCATACAATTTTTTATCAACCAAAATTCCAATTTTAAAAACTATCGAAATATCACTGATAAATCCCATTACCGCTGAAAATAATCGCAATAAACGATTCAATAAACGAACACGTTAAATTCCATGTTACTCCATGTTTCGAAACAACCGGGACGAAGACATTCCCCTGTAATTCATAAAATTCCTCGTATCTAACCTTCATCTATCACATCCCCAACAATCGCTGCAATCAAGAACTTCCTTCAGCGCGAGAATACCTCGTGACTCTGAAAAGTATCGTCTCTAATCTTCGGCATCCCTTCATCGGACAATCAGCTACGCACCTCGTAGCACGAGAAAACAAATTCGCTCGTTAAAAGCGAACATTCATCCCGCCACCGTAGAATCCGAAATAACAAAAGGACAAAGCAGGAGTAAACGATCGACGAGCGAATACCTGCTATTCCTTGGAACCACAGAAGACCAGAAGAAGCTGTTCTATTATTCCGATATTCGCGATATTTAATGTAAAAAATTACCCAACTTCCTTGTACCGATCCAGGATCATTCGCACTTCGCTTAGTCGGCCATGTTATTCACAATTTATTTACTCATCTCGATAAATTATTCCTTTATTTTATATTTGAAGCTAGATTATTAATAATTTTTTATTATCGATAAATTAAAATTTTGTAGCGACCATCATTCATACCCACGCCACTAGATGGATTCCAACTTGGAGGACTTTCGGCCGCCGACAGCAGCCATATTGCGCGAAAAAGTATCCTCAGCGATCGCTACTGTCGACCCCATGCCGCTCAAGCGAAGCATTTCAACTTAGATCAGTTAGTAGTCAAAAGGGCTAATATACAACTATACTGAAAGTATACTTATTAATATTGTTGCGGTCCCAGGACCGAATGTCCCAAGTTAAGTGGAGGACTGTTTATGTCCTTATTGCCAGGGTCCCTTGATTCGTGTACACTCGTTATCACCTAGTCACCACGAAAATCAAACGATTCCGCTTCGTTTTGGGCCTCGAGTTATATCCACTACGTGCTCGTCACTTGCGGAGCCTTATCGGTCCCCGGAGCTGGCTACTGTTACACCAGTTAGTCATCCTGCACCCTAACCAAGTTACCTAACTCCACCTCCTGTACCCAAGTATCCTCTGTCTACTCCACCGACGCCAGAGTACAGCTATTCGAGCACCTGCTCCTCCATGTACCTATTCAGCGCCACACAGTTACCGACCCTCGGCCAGTCTATTCTCCTAGTTCTGCCTTGGGCCACGTTATCTACCTCCAGTTTCATAGTCCAGCTAATCTGCAGTGGAACCTCGAGCCAACTTGATCCAGCTCCTCGATCCAGTTCATCTGTTTCAGTTCCTCCAAGTTAGCTTTTTCCGTCAGGATAATTATACCGTTAGCTCGTAGCTATCCTGTACAACATCTCTAGAGTCCAATTACCAAGTTATCCTGCGCTATCGTAAAAGTAATTGCATGCTGCTCTACTCGTCTATCCCAGGTCTGGCTCGAATTAGAATTATTTCTCGTGTATATACTAAACCTTTGAGATAGTACATGGTGAACAGAGAGAGATGATAGATTTTGTGTGGTAGGAAATATGTATTATCGTTCTGGTGATTGTTTTTTGATCTACGTGAACGATTTTTATATGTAATTTGGTAGGTAAGATGTATTTTTAATTATATATAATAATAATTTAATAAATTAATAATAAATTTTAAAAGAATTTAGTTGCGTTAAAATTCCTTTCAAAAATTTGTTCCAAAGATGGTTTCTGTATTGAATTTTGTAACATAGGATATTCACTGTTTTAATGGGTTTCTTCATCGTGTTAGGTATTATGCATTTTCTTTGATAAACGTGCAATGCGTGATGTAGAAAATGTTATTGTATTATCAGTCGATAATGAAATTTGAATTTGTTGTTATTATGTGACAAGACTTTTATATGTAATCTAATATGATTTACTTACTTTTCCACTCTAAAGTGTAAACAATAAAACAGCATCTGAAATAATGCAAGCATAAAACAAAATACGATGTTGCAAATAATTTAATTTTAAAATAACACAAAAATTGGTTTTTCTGGATTGTAAAGGAAATATCTTATCTCTGCAATCAATACCCTTCCAAATGACTAGTATTCTTTTTAAGAAATTATATCGATGATTGATAAAATAAAAAATACTAATTATTCGTTTTGCAATCACGATCAACAAATTATCCTTGAATAAAATGAAATAAAATGAAAGAAGGAAACAAATAAAATCAAATATTCACTTTTAACACCTAAGATCTGCAGAGTGTCTAAAAAATCATTCTCTGCTTATAATTTTTAACTATTTTCCTAAAATCCTTGTTATAAAAGAAAAAAATAAATAAAATTGAATATTCTGTAAATAATTTTTAATTAAATCTTTCAGTTTCAAGCTACTAAACTAAATTTTTAAGAGCTCGACGTTAGCAGAGAGATTATGAAACGATGAAAGCAGATTAACTATGTACATACATTTATTAACAAAACCAGATTTATTTTAAATACAGTTTGTACGATACCAGCTAATGCGACTACAATGAATATCACAGCATTTCTCAGGTAGACATTTTAGATGTCAGTCTCAGTAGCTTAAAATTATTAATCGAGTAAACGCTAAGCTTAGGATCTAGTTGAGTAGTAAATAAACGATGAGTACTCATCCCAGTTAATAAATCTTCCATTCGAACCGGAGTGTAGCTCGTATTAAACAAACATGTTTTAAAAAGAAAACAAGTTAAATCCTCGCTACACTCGCACGAAACGAACAGCCATGATCCAACGTGTTAGCGTGTTATCTCTAACAGGATATGACTATGTTATCTCTTAAATTATTGTTACAATTATCATTGATCCACTTTACGATACGACAAAGACACATCGAAATGAATTAGTCCCTTTTCGTAAAAACCGAATAGAATTTTCATCTATATTCACGACAATGACACGAAGATATAACAACGGTCCCATCGACGAACATCGACTTGACTTCTTATATCTAACATTACGTATATTGCAATGAATCCAGTTGGCATTAATTTGATTGTTTAAATAATTAACGTAAACCTAACGCAAACAATAAGGTTTACAAATCACGACGTTTCGATGAGAAAAAGAAAAAGCATAAACGCGAAATTAATTCGATCTCGTTAGTCTGAAATGAAGGTTAATGTTTAGTAGAAGTAGTCAACCAATATCACAATTATCGCCTTAAGGAAATTAAGTAATGTAAATCTAAGTCGGTTCAGACACGTGTACACGAGAAAAGAATTGGCACGTTGATTACGAGTCACTTATCGGAAATTAGAAAGGTACCATTTTATTTTACAGAGAAACCAGATTCGCGATTAAACGGAAAACGAGTAGATTGCAATTGGTTATTACAGTCGTGAATCGTAACAACGTGCTTTGAAACCTACGCGAGATATATACATTGTCCTCTTACTTACGAAAAACGGAAAAATAATGGTTCATTGATCGATGAAATTAATTTGAACAAATCAAGACACGATGATGTAATTTTAATGACTGTCAGTGTTTGATTTCTCGAATTTTCATGGTCTCATTCGTCTCCAGTTTCGGTTAACTTGTCCAGGCAATCGTACGACTTTGACTGTATGATATATCTGCAAGATAAATATTGTGTTGTTAAAATGCTGGAACTCAAACAAAAATTTTAAGAAGAAGTTAGTTTCTCATTATATTAATAGATTATTTATATTAAAACCATCTTCTTCACTGACTAATTACTATACAATTAACGTATCTTTGGATTTTAATAGTTCTAATACTACTTCATAACATGCTCCCAACTTGCATCTGAAAATAAGTAAATTGGATTTCAAAATAATTTTCAAATTGCTCAATTAAAATTTGAATTCGACATTTACAAATCTGAATATTTTCAAATATTCACAAATCTCGTCTAAGAATTAATATTTTTTTGTAAAAATATTGCTCAAGTGCATCGAATACAGATAAATTAGAAGCAAATGAAAAGACAAAGTATCTGACATAACAATCCATTGCTATTAAAGATAGCAAGTTTCGTCGAATTCTTCCAGCATTCATAAATCCCAGCAGAATAGGTATCAAAGCAAAAGTTCGCTATAAGCAAGAAGCAGTGGCAGAAGATAACTAATTAAGTAAGCAAAGCACCGGAACTAACCCAGGGTTATAGACACCAATATTCCCTATCGCCTGTAACCCAACCGTTTGTGCGTTGGGTCTCTGCGACCCACGTGAAGAACCATTTTCCCAGCCTTGGCAGCCTTGAAGCTCTGTAGTGCTTTCGCATGTGTCAGTCCATCCATCGATATCCCATTAATGGCCAGAATCTCGTCTCCGACTTTCAAAGTCCCCTCTTCAGCCGCCTGACCACCAGCCATGATGTCCTTTACAAAAATACCCATGGATCCCTTATTGCTATCAGATCCACCGACTATGGAAAAACCCAACTTCTTCGAGGTACCCTTCTCCAGGGTAATAGTAAGCAGATCCATCGATAAACTGGTCGCCCTACGTGGACAGGAAACCGGATTGGTCGCTCGTTTGCGCACTACGTGGAACTTCCTCATGCCAGTCATTTTCTGACCAGATTCCTTCTTCAGAGTGGCATCATTTTCGCATTCCATGCGTTCCATTGAACTCGCGGATAAGTTCTTGCCGTCCTTCATCAGAGCACCGACTATCTTACACTGGGAAGAGCTTTCCTCTCGTATCACGCCATCCACGGAAGCGGGGACATCTGCCTTCTCTTGTTTCAGAGTCCACACCTCGGAGTCGCTTCGAGTGCGGACCAGAATGTCGCCCCACGTGTCGCCTAGCTCCTCCCCGAAAGTGAACGTCGGTTCCCTAGCTATCTGCAGTTCCACGGTGCCTGAACAATTTTTTAACGCGTTTCTAGCCTCGGTGATCGACATACCACGTAGCCTACGACCGCAGACCCGAACGATCTCGTCGCCTATTCGAAACTGCTTCGATTTCGCCGCCTCTCCATGTACGTCCATCTTCGAGATCACGTAGAAAGGCCTGACAGCTTCTCTCCTTTCCACGGAAATCCCAAGGCTTCCGGGTTTGTCTATAGATAACTTCATTGTCTTTAACTCACGACGGACCAGGGTCTTCGCTGGTGTCGCGGTAATCGAGGATGGATGATCGATTTTAGATGTCGGGTCCGATTTCTTCACTTTGTTCCTCGAATTTACAACCTCAAAACCCTCCGGTTCCATGTTCGACCGGGATCTCTTTGGACTGTAGTATTGGAGAGGGCTGTTGATAATCGCGGCGTAGATTTTCGATGCTGGTGGACTATCGTTACACGGGGATGCTGCGTTATCTAATAGACTCAACGCGCTTGAGTTGGTGTGCTTTCGTGATTTCAGAGGTATTTGCGACTTGGTGGTCCCTTTCTGCAGATTCTGCACCTTCACGGCTTGCGAGAGCGGTACTGTTTGGTCTGACTTGGTGAACGACCTCTTCTCAGGTATCCTCGAGAGTTCATTGGTCCCAAAGGTGGAAGATGTTCTCTGATCGTCGAAGTTTCTGCTCGAGGACGTAGAGGACGCTTTCGACGACCCGCTCTCGCATTTTTTTAGCGTATTCATGGTGGATTTAGCCTGCTCAGTCGCACAGCTCAGCTGATAATCCGTGAATCCTTCGAAAGTGTCCTCGTCACAGCTGTCCGTGTCTTCGCCGTCAGAGCCTATGGCAGTTGTCTCTGTCATGACTGATACGTTTAATAAGCTTTTGTTCACGATGACAGTGTCATCGAGACGAGAAGAACCTGATTCGTTCTCCTCTGTTTCAGTTGTCACGTCTTTCTTTATAGGTGTGCTGACTGGTAGCGAGAGATCGATGCCATGGTAATCGTCCGACGTTATGGAAAAGCTACGAGGTTTCAGCATAGGTGGTACGGATTTTCCACTGTCAGGGGAATCAGCTCCAGCTCGCGTGCTGTCGGAGTCGTAGCCACTCTCGTCGCAACCTAGTCGCAAATTGCTCATCAAGTCCTCCAGGCCTGTCGTTGGGCAAGGTCTCTGATTGTCGGCTCTGTAAGTATAAGTAGAGACTTAGAGTAATGTCTTGATGAGGATGCATTAACCGTTTGAGTGCCACTGAGTTCAAAAGTACCATTGCATCAGGACGCTATGTGCAATTGATGGGGCATTTGGATTCCACTGCCACCTCAGTCTTAGTATTCTTAATACATTGTACGCTAGTCCCGCTATATTATGAAACTTTTAGTATCGCGGTATTACGGGATTTTCCCATTAGTATACGTGTATATGTAAGCACTTGATCACTTCCTTTTGGTATTAATTTTGGTATTTAGTAAAGATATAATTCTCTAAAATACTATATATTTTTAAAATACTATTTTACGTATTCGATATTACAATGTTCAATTCTCATAAGTAGATAGTATAACCCAGTTTAGCTGGCGTACAATGCGTTGAGATAAAGAAAGAGGTACCAAGCACTTGACACGCAAACGATTAAAGTATTCATCATTATAAAAGAATTGTATACCTAATCTAATTACAGGTTAATGACTTATTCTATTAGCATATCATACGTCTTGTAGGTCTTCAGAATTCTTTCTCCATACATGACACGAGTTCACAAAACAGATCAAACTGACAGCACTTCATTTAGCATTAGTTCCAACGTTTCTTATTCGAATTTCAAAACACTTAATTTCCTCTAACTATGAAAAAGATTAAACAGTAACACAGTAGGGCTAGGTAAAAAGTGACTTTCTATTACACTTATTAACCAGTGTTCTTTATTCATACTAGCACTGGCAAGATTAATCTCTCACCTGTCACACTCGTTGCCACTCGTGCGAACATTGAAGAGATTCTTCTTAATATTGCTAAGGTGATTACTGAAGAAGTCTCTGGTCTGCGTGGAAACGCTGCTCTTGTTACCATCCGACGTAGACTGACTGGCTCGTCTTTTTGGACTCGTGCTCCTCCTGGCTTTGTCCAAAGTTTCCCTCGCGAAAGCAGTTCCTTCTTGCGTCTTAAGTATATCCTGGTTCTTCAGGATATAGTCTAAGACCCGTTGCTGCTCCTGGAGGTCCTGGATGCTACGGCTGAGCTGTTTCTTCTTCTCGTGAAGAAGAGTTCCACGATCCACTTGACTGTCATCGGAGCTGCCACAGAAGGACACGTTCTTTATGGCACCCTCGCTCAGAGCCTTCTCCATGGGATAATGACTGATGCAGGTGACGTCTTCCTCTTGTATCGTCACGTTTCTGGCTGACACTTCGCTGGTTAGAAAACTGCTGCTTCTCTCGCTGCTTCTGAACAAGTTTCGTAATGATTCCACCCTTGAAATTCTCTTTGGCTTTGGTAATTCTGGCGAACCGCTGGCACCCTAAAAATAATAATAGCCATTTAGTATCGAGGTTAAAGTAGACTTCAAATAAATAGTATAATACTCTTTTGGGGTTCTTGTTTCTTGGTATGAAAATATAGCTGCATCTATAATTATTTCTCTAATGACAATCATTTTTGGCAGTGCTTGATACTCGATATAGAAATATACAAATTGTTATTTTAATTATTAATTTGTATAATTACTGATAAATAATTTCAATTATTATTAATATTCGATAGAGACCTTTTGTTTGCTCTTTTTAAACAATTGTTTATTACTTTTCTTTTATTGTCTTTAATTATTTATTACTTTTACTTACTGCCAAGTAATTATCCGCTATTTACTCTACCGAATAATTATCGTCCTTGAGATCAACCATTAAATCCGAAGAAGTTCTCTGGAAGTTACTTAACGAGTATGAACGAGAGACTCCAGGTACTTAGTTGATTAAGAGCTACTTATTTATCAGGCCAGGCAACATGTATCGAGTATATGAGAAAGTAGCATACTCACGTTTTCTTTTTCCTCGGTTGCGCCGCCTTTCCGATTCGGACTCCACCGTCTCCTTCGGCCCGAAACCGAAAGCAATTCGGAGCTGTCCGATCTCTTCAGCTGATCCCATCTTCGACCCACTTTCCTGCCCCATGTCGAAATTCCTGTGACGCAAACCAGATTCGATACATTAATTTTCACTCTTCGATCGTGCGTCAATTATTATCTCTCGTGACTGTCGGTGCGCTGTTAAAAAAAGACAGTTCATATTTTAATGACAGCTCTGCATGAAAAAATTGTGCCAATCACCTGAGATGTCACGAGTATCTTATGAGAAAAATATTAGGAAAGAATTATTAATAAATTATAATAATATTTACTGCGTGTATATATATAACTTTCGTATGATCTAACAAATTAATATCTATATATACCGAGATTTCCATATTATATACCATATTTCTATTATTTTTATTATCGTATTTACATTTCATTTCTCAGCTTTTGCAAATTAAAATAATTTAAACATTACAAAAGAACATCTAATAAAAATGATTAAACTTTAATAATTAATAATAGATATATATCAATTCATTTATATATTTTTATTACTTTTATTATTACATTTATACTATATTATTATTATACTCTCAACCTCTGCAAATTAAGAAAATTTACGAATTAGAAGAGGAATAAGTATTATTTAAATTTAATGATATATATACCAAGATATTAATTTGTTCAATCATACGAAAATTATAGAACTATGTACATTAAATCAGGATTTCTCAATTATTTTTGGATGATGTCGCAAATTAAACATTAGACACTGAGTTTCAAGAAAGTGTAATATAATCTAAATAATACATGTTTATATGTATATATATATATATATATATATCATTAAATTTAAATAATACTTATTCCTCTTCTAATTCGTAAATTTTCTTAATTTGCAGAGATTGAGAGTATAATAATAATATAGTATAAATGTAATAATAAAAATAATAAAAATATATAAATGAATCGATATATATCTATTATTAATTATTAAAGTTTAATCATTTTTATTAAATGTTCTTTTGTAATGTTTAAATTATTTTAATTTGCAAATAATTTGTAATTACTAAATTTAAAATTGAGGAATGGGATTTTTTAATTACAAACAAGATGTTCAGAACTGCTCCATTATGGGGTGTGTGATTCACGTTGGGAAGTACTGGGACAGATGATCCAGTAAAACAAACATTAAATAGATTCTACTTGATAGATTTAATAAGTAGCGAGCGAAGTATGTGGAGAATGTGTAAGTGTATGTTAGAAAATGTCGACACTGATTTAAGGCGGTCAAGAGAGGCGAGTTCGCCTCGTTAAACTCGCTACGGGGAAGCTGAAGACTGGATGTCAAGATTAAACCCTCTATAACCAGAATTTTCTCGACTCACGTGTAATATACATTCATAACCTAGGTTAACATAATCTAGCTAAAATTAATCATTATTTATTCCTTTACCGTTTTCATCCTAATTACCACTATTTATTATTTTACCATTTGTATCCTAATTACTTATTAATGACTTATTCTGCTACCATTTCTGTTCTAATTAACATTATTTATTATCCTACAAAATTTTGTTCCAAATACTATTATTTATAGTTTTATGATATTTTTTCGAATTATAATTTTTATTCTCGTTTCCCTAATTTCTAAAGAAATTTTCTAATTTATCTAACATCCAGAATTTCAAATTATTTTTCAATTTTGTTTCCAATAAATCTCCACTATTTTAAGTATTTCGCTTGAAATTTATTTCACAGGACAGTTCCTTGATGGCTATATATTTTAAAAAATTTTCTTTATTGAATTTAAGTAATTTCAATAATTACTCATTTTCTGTTTTCTTGTTCAATAAATAAAAATCAAAAAATGTTGAGTGTAACTCGACATAGGAGTTCCTGTGATAAAATCTCATGTCGAGTCATACTTTATGAAGCAGTGCAAAGGGTTAAATTCCGAATTTTAACCACCCTTCGATATCCTGGCAGAAATATGAAAAATTATATTTACGAATTTAAAATTTATGAAAAATTACATTCACAAATTTAAAATTTATGGAAAATTACATTTACGAATTTAAAATTTATAGAAAATTACATTACCAGAATATTAACTCTATTTCAAATTAATTTCGAATTAATCGACTAGAACGGACTATAGTTACCGTGAAAACTCTAGTTATTAGGATGCAGTATAGTTGTAAAGTAACAAACTTTTACCTTTTCTGTTTGAAACGCAAGATTGCGACGAAGATGGTTTCTGTGGCTCGCTAGCGCTCTCCTTTATGGTCGTTCTACCTGACCCATCGTTTTCGTTATGCGACTTCTTGCTGCCACGATCGAAGTTCTCCTCCACCACTGTCAGAGGCGCGGTTCCATCCTGAGATAACGGAGTAGCCGAAACTAGCTGTGGGCTGGTATCAGAGGTCTGACGTTTGAACAGACGCATCGCGATAGCCTGCAAGAAACGTTCGTATCGAGATTATGGGAATGGATAGACAAGAATGAAAGTGATGAATTAATTTCATACGGTAAATTCATGAATTATGAAACAGGTATCCTTATTGTTAGTACGATAGAGGTGAGTGAAAAAAAAAAACGGCGTATTATGCAAAATTAGGGGGAAAAATTCAGGTCGAAATAATTAACAGAAGCATAATCCTGCATGGGTATGAAAAGTACATGTTTATTTGAATAATTAATAATTAATCGGAGTTGTTACACATTTATGTTGCTTATATAATACTGTACTACTACTTTGCATAGTATGCTATTTAAATATTCTATATCGGTATTAACGGTATAATAGAATAAATTAATGAAAATTAAATTAATATTATTAATATTCTCTTTGCGTGGTATTTCCGTGAAATGTCGCCGATCTTTTTATTAGTAAGGCCTCGAAATTAATTCTTCACGAATTGGAAGATTTAATATTCCAAAATTCCATACGTAAATCTCCTTTTAATATTCCCTAATTTTCGAGGAGTATTACAAAAAATAGCAAAATATCGTGTCAAGATTTCCCTAATTTTTTAAATAAATAAATAAATCATTTAACTAATAAATCATTTCTCCAATTTTTTCAAATTAAAATTAATTTCAATCAACTTTAAAATTAATTTGAAATTAATTTTCACGTTACAAGACTATCGAATTGTATTTCAATTATTACTACACGTTCCTTGGAAATGTGATAATATTTCTTCACTGTTAATTTAATACACCATATCTCTCAATATACACATTTCCATAAACCCATATCTTAATTTCTTGGTAGTAAACGAAAAAATTACAAAATTTACGTGTATAATAATTAAATAGAAATAAGAGGATGCGAATGTGTAGAAATTGTGACAACTAGGTCCATTTCTGAGCCTAAATATATAATTGAATAGAAATAAATTCGAGTAAGAATTACTTCTTTAATATCGGAAAGTATAATTTTCTTCATGGAATACACGCTAGGAATTAACACTCGCGAGGCAAACGTTGACCAATATCTGACATCTTAATAGTTACGAGATAAATACCAACGGCAGATAAGATTCGTGAGGAAAACATGTCAGTCTCGTGGAAGAAAACACGTAATTACTGGAGACCTAATACAGCACGAGCGCTAAGAACACGCCTGAAAGTTTCAAAATATTCAGATGCCTTTCGCCAACACCCATTCGCAAACAGTTAACAAATGCCGTATTTACGATCTGAATTCCTCGACCCGTTACTCTCGATACCAACCACTACACTAACACCGGGGAAAAATTGTGGTAGCGGATGATTGAGGAATTGACGCGGTTCATTCGAACCGATTCTTCAATTCGAATAATAAACTTGATATAAACGAGTCTATTACGGTATTGAAGAATTTCCTCGAAGCACCTAATAATTAAATCTAATTAAAACTCCATGGAAACGTGTTAATAATTATATATCCAATAATGTGAATAATATATATGGTATAATATATATAGTAATACAAAATGCATTTATATATATAATATACAAACAATGTATATATATTATGTTGTATATATATTTATATATAATATACAAACAATGTATATAAGGACATGGGAGAGATCCTTGATCATGTCGGATCTAGGATTTTAATATCCCAAAGCTTTAAATGACCACAAACAGCCATTGAAATTTAAGAAAACATCAATGTACCTAACCTCTATGTACTATTTTTACATTTTCACAAAGTGTTACTGATTTAGCACGAATTTGCTATATAATATCGAATTCTGTATACATTTCTGACATTTCCTTAAAGTTTCTAGGCATCCAGCAGAATTGTCAAAGCATTTTTCAATTTTCGCACATCGAGAAATTCCAATGTCAGGCTCAATTTCATTGTAAACTAGCCTTAAACTCATTTGAGACTCACTCTAAAATCTATTCAAAAATGAAGGCTTGAACGAAAAATAAACAAGTGAAAGTCTCCTTTGACTGTCCAATTAGCGAATTGATAAAATGAAAACGCGAAATTAAAAATAAAAAGACAGAGAAGACGAGAGAAGAGGATGTTTGTGGATGTTCATTGAACCGTAGCGTTGGAGTCACGAGAGCCGCAGTGGGCAAGCAGAGGCATAAAGTTCAGTAAAAGTGCGGATCATCGAACGATCACTTTCCCAGCATTCCAGGGACGTTTAGCAACGTTTCCTACAGCTATCGGTCCACGAACGAAAGAGGAGAAGTCTCTCCTACTTGCGGCAACTTTATCACTACCACGCTTACGCCTTTACGGTTGAACGTGCGTTACCAGTTCCCAGCTTCGAGTTACATCCAGCTGTATCGAACGTCTCGAAAACGAGCGACCGTGTTGCCCACGGCCCTCTAGCGGAGCTGTAGCAACCGTGCATGCACCACTTCCTCCTAGGTGTCTCTCCCGTTGGGAACGATTAGTAACAACCGCTGTCCTTCGCCATTCCGTCACGCGACCTATCTTCTTTCCACTGCTTTTTCCGCGGTAGGCCGCGACACCCACCGCTCTGTCGGGACAGTGTTACGTTCTTTCTAAGATCACAGGTTTGATTGTTACCGGTTTATCGGTATTATGCGAGAAATTCGGTTTATATTTCGATACCGATTATCGCGAATTTTGTTCTTCGCGGACGAGTTTTCGGCTGTTTGGAAATTAGGAAATTTGAGAATTTGGATAGTGAAGTATTTGGAAATTTGAAACTTTGAAAATTCGTAACATTGAAAATTTGGAACTTTGAAAATTCGTAGGATTGAAAATTTGGAACTTTAAAACTTTCAAATTTGGAAATCCAGAGATTTGAAACTTTAGAAATTCGGAGATTTGAAGCTTTGGATATTCGGAAATTTGAAACTTTGGAAATTCGGAGATTTGAAACTTTGGAAATTCGGAGATTTGAAGCTTTGGAAATTCAGAAATTTGAAATTCTGAAAATTCGAAGACTTGAAAGCTTAAAGGTTTCGAAACATCGGAAATACAAAACTTTGAAAATTTAGAAGTTTAAAAATTCGAAAATGCGAATATTCGTATATATAGAAATTCGGAAATTTCCGAAAATTTAGAAATTAAAATTGAAAACTCGGTAACTCGAAGATTCAAAGATCCCTCAATTTGGAAATTGCACAAATTAGAAGAATTTTAAAAATATAGAAATTCGAAGACTCGAAGATTCGAAAATTTGTAAGTGATAAACTAATTACATTCGAACTCTTAAATACAATATGTATAAACCTAGCAGGTACAACTATCTCACTTATAGAAATAAAAACTACACACAATTCCCTTACCCCTCCAATCCAAACAGACAAATAAAACGAAAGAAAAATAAATTAATAAACGAATGAAAATCCCATAAACAAAACCTAAACCTAACAATCTCATCGATATCATCCAACCAACAACCCACGTATCCCTTTCTAACAACGTCGATCTAAAATTAATCTAAAATTAATCTAAAATCGATCAATTAAACCAAATGTCAGGACTAATGCCAAACAAACGTACACGCAACGCGATATTTGACTTTTCGCACGGAAAGAATCTCGCGCAAGGCTCAATAGGAATATTCTCTACGCAATTAATCAAAAACCCACGCGTAAGCAGAAGTGAAAGGTCACTATTGAATATTAAGGATATTACCAAATACATTTGAGCCGCGTAGTACGATGTGGAAGATACTTTACCGTGGTTACTCCTATTAATCATAACCGGCGAGAATTAATGCGGCTACTAAAAACCGCGACGTTAATGTATATTAGTAACGTTAAGATCAAAGATAGCTCCTCGTCGTTTATGACACTGCTTCGGGTATTAAACATAAATTCGCACCGATCCGAATAATAACAGGTAAAAAAGAAAACGAAAAAATATATTATTTACATCATCGTCCGTAATTTCCCAACGCGATTTACCGATTTATGAACCATTATAGTAATCGACGAACCTCTAAACGCGAATTTTCGATCAGAGCTAGAAAATCTTATAATAAATTACCACGTTATAGTTTTTGTTGGGATAAATTTATTTAAGTATGTCCTGTTAATTTACTAACTACTCAAACCTCGCAATAATTTTCCTCTGCTCTTCTTTCCAACGTGTAACACCTAAGTGCATTCGAGGTAAAGTTCGTGAATTTTAATAATTTGAACGAAGTATGTTTCAAAAGTTAGAACGTCGAAGTCGAGGAGTTCAGAAAATGAAATTGGAATTGGTAAAAATTTTTGGTTTTATTTTATGATTCTAACTGTACATGTATGGAATTGTATTTTAATATGGCGTATTATGGAGTAATTGCTTTGGCAATTATCCGGATTTTTAGATCCTTTGCATGATAATTATTTTAAGTACCAGGTGCCCTCGGGTGGTCTGGATAGTAAATGTATTTAATACCTCGTCCTCCAAATTACTGTTAATTGCTGGGTGTAATATATAATACGTGATATCGTGTAACAGTGTGCGTGATATAATGAGTTGAAATTTTGAAATTCTGTTATAAACGTGTTCGTTTATAATGCTTGAAGTTGAAATTTATAATTTAAACGCTAGGTGATTTTTATTCCAGATATCGAGCATTCAATTAATTAGACTCTTCGGATAATAATATACCTAACAAAAAATGAATAGATGATTCTGAAGTTATGCTATTTTAGATGGGCAAACAAAAGCAGCGATTATATTATGTTTTTATAATTCCATTTGTTCTTTGCACATATATCAATGATTTACTAAGAAGAAAATTAATGTAAAATAATTTAAAATATCTTTGAATGAGCATCAACGAATTATTCTGGAGGAAAATAATATAAAATTCGATTTTTTATATTTTTTCTATGATATATAATTTATTACAGTTTCTAAAATTCACGAATCAAAATTTATGCTACAGATACTTTTTAATAAGTATTTCGTGAAATTCTAAACTCTAAAAATGAATGTCTATAGTGGAATGGAACGCCTTCGGAATAACCTAAAAGGCATACGTGATTCCCCAAAGTTGATTTAAGAGAGACTTCTGCTTCATCTCACATCTTTTCTTCATCTGAAGAAAAAGTTTCGAAAAAAGTTCACGACTTTGACGATTATAATCTCCATCTAATAGCTGGGGCCCCTTTTACACTGTGACGTCTGTGAGCCCATACTAGGGAGTCAGATAAGCATACCCAGTAACGTATATTTTACATTTTTAAATATGGTACCGATATCGTGTAAGGTACACTCCATACTTGTATTAAAAGTAGAGAAGTATTTAAGAAAATATCAAAGAATGTTGCAATGAGAGGTTTTTCAGAGTTAATTCATTATTATTGTTATTATTATTACTATTGTTATTATTATTATTATATCTTAGTGAAAAACTTAAAAATTTTCTAATTTTCTAATGTTCTACATCAACTATACCCTGTTAATTCTTAAATTTAACGGAAATTTATTTTAAGTAATTATTTACGAATAATTTTAAATGACGTTAATTATATTTGATAAGTAATGTGCTCCATTTGATGGTATCACTTTCATTGTATTATAATATAAATGATATAACCAAGATACATCCAAAATCTCTGTATAATACTTCTATTTTTCTAATATGAATGTTACAATACTACGCCTATTTTTAGGCAACATACAAATAAGTCGTAATTACCACAAAATAGTCAGAGACTCGCATAGATCTACTGAGAACTTGACAATCTCAGAAAACTCGATAATTTCCATAATTATTTAAGAATATATTTAATACATATACAGGTGATTATGAAAATGTCCTAAGTCATACAGGTTACTTTCGAAATATTCAAAGTTTCACGTTTCAAATACATTATAGATTAAAAGAATTATCTACGACAAATTTGTACTATCTTCGCAAACATAATTCCATATTATTATAACGTAAATTAATGCAGCATGAAATAAGAAATGAAATTCTCTATTGTAGATTTTTAACTTAGCCCACATTCGTAATTACCGGGACACATCTCGCAAAAGGACCAGAAATTACGAAAATACGTATTACGAATAATTTCGATGCCAAATACGTTCGGAAAGCTCGCCTATCTCGTTAATCAATTTTACTTTTCTGTTACCTTCTATAAGTGCCACCCGTTAGATTAGACGGCACCGGCAGAACGTTCTGGGATTGGAGAAGAGGGAACAGGGTGTGGAGACAGGGAAAAAAGTGCATGTAGTGTGCCCACGTGTGTCCGGAGCCGGCCGTATAAGTGCATATCACATACACCACATGTCGCGGAGAAGTGGCGCGCATTTTTTCGAGACGAGTCGTGGTACGGGAGCTCGCGTGAAAATGACCGTGCGCACCTTTATTGCGTAACGCGCATCCTGCCGCGAATCAACGCGTACTATAAAAATATCACACGTGTATCAGAAAAGTTTTATTTCATTGATTTCTTATTACTTATTCAAGGGTTTAAAGTTCTTGTTATTCGGGGATTGCATAAGTAATATGAACGATAACACTGGTAGTCGTAATTAAAAGTGAATAGAATATTATTTATATAGTGTGTGAAAGAATTTTGAATAATAAAAGTAATTACCACAGTTAGACGATATTATGAAGTAAAAGGTATTAAATCATATTCAAAGATCAAATATATACTTAAAACAATGAAAATTCTACAGTTGTCCTCTGAAACCCGAATTGTGAAGAATCTAATATTGAGAATAAAATAAAATATATAACTTTCGAATATTAAAATTAATGAAATGTCTAGAAAGAAAACGTTCCATCAGAAGCTTAACTGGAATTTAGTCCGAATAATAAGAACTACCGTTTCTTAAAACAAGAATTTATCATTTCCATAAATCACTGTGTCCCCGGTGAAACCATAATGAAATCCTTCCACGCTATCATTACCGGTTCTTTACAATCAGAGCTCGCTTCGATTTATGTTCCAACCTCTGATAATTTCACGAGTACTACACCTCTCTGGTCGACGTTACGCTCCGTGGACCTCTTAATCTAACGAGCTTTATAATTCCTAATACAGGGTGTCTTGCAACTTTCTATATCTATATTACATAGTTATATTCTACATATAGCAAAATGAAAAATTAGTCTATAGCTTTCACCTGGAAAATCGAACGCTCGTGGACCAGCACATTTTAGAGACTATTGTGCTTTTTAATCGAACAATATTATTAATAAAATTTCTCTCAACTATCACCGGCAACGAGTTGCTTCGCTTTTTGAACGTGTCATTATCCTAAAATCGAGGGACGTTTCGGAGGACAATTACGATATTTTTGCACGCGAGTTACAAGTCTTCTTGCGCTACCTCGGGACGAATTAAGGCGTCTAATAGCCTTTTTTGTGATGAACATTACGTACAATGTAAAATGCGTACGTTGGGCCCTTTGATCGCGGTAAATCTACCGATTCATTTGATACGGACGTTTGAACGAGATGATTGATTTCCACAAAAACGTTTAAATGTTAGTGGTTATAGATAAGGGAAATGGAACGGTGAACTTGAAACATTTAACGTAAGTTAAAATGATAACGCCTCGAGGTATGCAACTACTGAGCGATGTTAATGCAAGAAACAGCTTGGCAGCGATCCCCAAGGAGGATATGTAAATACGGCTTAATGCTATTATAAAAGATACTTTACATTTCCCTTATAGCTTTTTACTGCTTCCTTCTTATTTGTAAATTAAAATACGTATTTTTTAATCAATTATATTAAAAGATATTAATACATTAAATACACTAATATTGTTTATATTAAACAATAAGATACAATAATATACTTGTATTTTATTTTAGTTAAATACATCAGTATAATATACTATATTTTCAGAGTAGATTTAATTAAAAACCCCTCTACATTTAAATATCAATTTAAAGATCTTCCTGATTATGGTAATAAATATAGAGTACTAATTTCAAATTTACATTGGAATATACTATTGTTACTGTATTGTTGAAGACGATAAATAATCATTTAAACGATTTATATCGCACAAAATTATTATAAAATTAATGCACTGTATAATATAAAAATAAAATACTCACAGTGGATATAAAAAAAAATATTAAGAATGTCTCTATAATACGTTACAGTATTTTTTTAATTAGAATAAAACAAGAAACGAAGCCTCTACATCTCAACCATGAAATACCCCGTCCCTCCAACTTAAATCTTCTTCAAATTCTTCCCCAACGACAAACATAGCTATATCCGAAGAAATCTTAAGTCTGTTCCTCTAACAAAACCCAAAAATCAGCTTACTTCGAGCAAGACCAACCTGCCAAATCAAATATCTACCTTCATCCTAATCCGTCTCTTCGCCCAAATCCCAGCAGCGACACCAAAGCTGTTCCCACGTCTCTCCATCCGCCTCGCAGTCACGGTCGTCACGCTTCACCATCGAAAACGAAAACACCGATCCATCCCCTACGCGACTCCCGCGATGAGTCACGTCGGCGTGTCAAGACTGCTCGACGAGAGACACGATCGTCCCCGTGAACCCGTTCGATCGTCACGATCCCATGGAAACGCGGCAACACGTAACGCAACTGGACAGAGGCAGCGATTAACCGGCATCGGGTTACAAAGGGAGAAAAGCAGCACCCACGCGCGTCTCCTTTGAGAAAACTCTGCGAGCTAGAACGAAGCCCCAGACAGAGTGCACCGGCCCGACTGGCTTCCTCCACGACTCACGACTTTTCATTCATGCGACCGTGTACCGAAAACTGCGCTACGACCCCCACCACGCGGCCGTGCCAGGCCCCGCCCACCGCGTACACCTTCAGAAATAGATTCGTCAGGATGTCAGCGACAGGGTGTCGTCTCGTGGAGAAAAGTTGAAAAACGGAAATCTATAATTGTGGCCGTTTCCGGAGTGAGGGAAGAACGAGTCAAAATACGAGTTTTAATTTTAGCTTATTTTCTTTCGTGTAAAAATAGGATCGAATTGTTTCGTCTGACATTACCGACGATTTTACGGTTAGAATTATAAAAATATTTTCGATCAAAAGTTGAAGACTTAACGGGTGACAACAAAATACAACAGTAAAAACTAGTAAATAATAACCTATTGTGATAACCCCTTAATGACAGACGCGTGTCATGGGTCTAAAATTATACTAAACATATTTTTACGTACAATGGTTGACAAAATCGAAATACTTTCCCAGTGCACAATTTATCACGATAAAATCGTAGCGCAAGCTGTTGAAGTCATTTTAATCCTTTACTGCAAAATTACAATTATTACAATTATTTCTATTTTCATCGTATTCTCCTAAAAAATATATTAAGCCTCTAAGAGGCAAAGTCAACTAGATTAGAAATTACGAAACTCGTTCTAAACGCCCATATACTCCACACGCTATGTGTCATCCGGGACACCGGAAACGCTCGCTTCCCGTCGCGTCTCTGCTCCTTTCCGCGCTCCCGTTCCTTCCGACTGTTTTTCATCTCCTTTCATTTCCCACGGAACGTAAGCATCGCCCCCTACCAACGTGCAACGAATATCTGTTATTTGTCCACGGTACGTGAAGTTCAGCGATTCGAGTTTGCAGGCCGAGTTTACGGGCTGAGCCACAGCCGCCAACTGGCTGCTCACCTATTTCAAGGTAACGGTGCGAGATCATAGGTGACGCGAGATGCATTACAGTTACGGCCGGGCGCATGCCGGACTTTATCCCAGTCGACGTTTAGACATGCCTGCCGGACTAACCGCGCACGCAGCACTGCGGCAGCTGCCGCGAAAAATCCGCCAGAGGGTGCAGCACGCGATGGCCGCGTGCGCGCGCAGCTGTAATACCGTAAAATATGAAATACGATGCGTGGCTTGCAGCTAGAGAGTAGAAGTCTCGAAATAGTTGTTAACTAACGAGACGATCGACTGAAATTAACGGTTACAAGTCGGTTTTTGATTTTATTAACGTATAATTCGGATATCGGATAATCGTACGGGACTTTTGGACGGATGAAGACTTGCTTGTAGGTTAGGGTTGGACTGATTAGACATAGTCGAGTAATGTTTTAATGACGATTTGATGTGAAAGTCCTTAGGGCTAAAATTTAGACTAAAATTATAGTCCAATTTTTTGCTCGCTGGCTTGATCGGTTATAGTAAGGTATCGGAACTGTAATAAGGACTTTGTGCTTTTGATGAATTAATTTTCGTATTATTTGGAAGAGATTTTAAGTATTTAAGTTGTACTAATATTGGCAAATTTGGGACGAATCTTAAAGATGTTATGAATAATACTATAATAATAATAGGGGAAACGTGGTTCATTATTCGAAGAAAGCTACAATATAATATAAATGAAATGGAATATATTTCGTTCAAAAAATTTCAGGTTATAAAACTCTTAATTCCCGAACGAACCATTGATATCTCTGTAGTGAAGGAATATTCAAAGTGTATCACTCATTTTTAATATTTTTTTTAAATATCAGTATCAAAGTACTCGATTAACAATAACTCTCTTCCATTTAAATTAAATTTCTATCTTCTGTACTGTAGAGTTCGCCAAATGAATTCACTTGGACAAATGAACGGTCCACGTGACAGTCAACAACTCACGTGACATCCAGTTCACGTGACTCGTCATAGTATATTAACACGTTGATTGTCATGCACTTTGTATAATCTGCGCTCACGATGAAATTCCCATTATTCTTAGGATATAATCACGAATTATCAGAAAATAAAAACAAAAATAGCGCAAATTATTAATGTTCCCTATGTTCACTATACACACATTTTTGACGAGCGCACACACCTCAAAAGAAGAAAAAAAGAAAAATAGCAACGAAAGACACGAAAAAAAGGAAAAAAAGCAGAACTCGATTAACACTAACTTTCTTTCATTTAAAATACATTTCTACCCCGTGCTCTACAGAATTAGACGAGTATGGATCAATGAACGGTCCACGTGACATCCAAAGTCACGTGACCTGTTATAATATATAAATACTAGATAGGACTTGCCATTTTTGCGTATTTTGAATTTCGCGAAGAAAATTACAGCAACCGTTTACATTTAAATAAAAATAATCCCTGGAAATATTACAAATTTTACATAAATATATATTTCGTAATATATATTTACAGTGAATAATTATGCTCCTTTTTAAGTTATACTGTAAAGAAAATGATTTCGTTTTGTGTCAAATTGCCCCTTGCCAATAAAGATAGGTACATATACAAAAATTGTCCATAAACCGAGTGTTAAGCTACGTTCACAACAGACACGTGTTTGACAAGTACACGCCCCACAAAAAGAATGGAAAAAAGCAACGATATTATAAATTTTACATAAATATATATCTCATAGTTCTATTTACAGTGAATAATTATGCTCCTTTTTAAATTATTCTTTAAATAAAATAATTTCGTTTATGCATCAAATTAACCCCTGTCTATAAAGATAGATACACATACAAGAAATATGTAAACCTATTAAACCCTCATAAATCGAGTATTAAGCTACGTTCACAACAGACACGTGTTCCTCAAATACATGTACCATAAAAAGAAAGAGTAAAAGCAGCAAATGACACCTTTAAAAGAAAATCAGAAGAAAGTCTGTGAGATACGGAACCGAGGTACTGTGCATTCGAGAAAAGGAGGCACAGCGTGTTCATATCCTCACAGCTGATTAACTCTACTGATTCTTCTTCGATCACAAGCACTATTGGCTGAGAACAGTGACCGATGATCTCTGTCCCCATCTTCGGCCAATATCGATCACTGCCTGTGATCAAAGAAGAATCAGCGAAGTTAATCAGCCGTGTGGATGTAAACACGCTATGCCTTCTTTTCTCGAACGCACTGTTCCATAACCTCAAACTGACAAGACCCAGCGACTAAACCACGCAGAATTCGAGGAAACGAAGCTTTCCTCGACGTTCGTCCATGAATCTCGTCGAGGGGAACCTATGGTGAATGGCTGGATGGACGGAGCAGACGCGAAAGCTCATCGAACGGCGTGTTAGCGGCAATATTTTTACGTGTAACATCCGTTCGGATACGTGGTTAGCCTTGCATCCTCCGGCTACAAATGGAGGTGCAAGAGGTTAAAAGCGGCGCGCGTATCGCCGCACGCGTTTGCACGCTCCTGTGGTGCCGGCTATTAAAACCAGCGAGAGTAAGCTGACCGTAAAATGTGGGTGATTGGGTCTCCGATCTTCGACGGGCGTCGAAAAAATCGACGCGAGGACGTCGCGATGCTCGTTTCTTCGCGAAACCTACGGCCCGGTCCGAGGCGACCCGTTACGCAGCGGCCATTGTTTTCGTGGCTTATTTTGCTCGTCGTATTTTGGATAAATCCTCCGTTTCTTGAACGGTTATTAATAATTATTGAACGAAATTCCGAAAATGTCACAAATTATCAGATATTTTCACAGTCTTGTCTTGGTGCGAAGAAAAATTTGCATTCTATTGTTTTTCTTCACCGATCCGCTATTTTTGGATATCGTATACCTCTAACTTATGGTTATGTCTTCACTCGTTGTATTTCTAATTTTTTAAAATTTTTTCTCATTTTTTCTTTGTGATATTTGTCTGTTATTTTAGGTGGTTCGTTTTAAATGAACTTTGAGAAATATTTGGATTACGGAAACCAATTTCAGAGAAAGTTTTGTTAATTATAGTGATAGTAGCAATGGAACTTTGCATAGGTATGTTATTCTTGGAACCTGTGAATAAGTGTGAAATTGAAATTGAAGTTGAGTACGAAGGGTTAGAGACAGGTAAAATTGTCAGGGGTTTATTGATGGGATGATAGAATTGGTAGATTGGTAATATTTTGATTGATATGGTATGAAATTGACTTGATGCAATGCCTTCTAGGATAATTCGTTTATTAGAAGAAGAAAATTTATAATATTGCTATTGTCATTATAGTTGTTTTTAATGCTGTTTTCAATATTGCTTAATGAATCTCGTAATGTCTGTGAAAATATCCATATCTCTTCGTTATTTAATAAAATATTTACAAACTTATGTAGTATTATTATCCTAAGTAATATAATATTTTAAATAATAAGTTTGTAAATAATAATAGCCCAAATAATGATATTTCATATATCAATATTCCAAATAATATTCTAAATAATGGTATTCCAAATGATAATACTCTAAACAATATTACAGTAATATTACAATTGTAACAACAAGATAGATGACAAAAAATAAGCGAGTAAAATATAATCATGCATACGCAATTAATTAATATTATAATTAACTTCGTCAAACGCAGCTGCTTTCCTGCAATATATGCAGAAATCATGAGCCAGAAAATCTAACAGAATTTATTTTCATTACACCTGAACATGCTAATCG